TCGACGTCAATTCGCACTTAACTATAATCTATTGACGACAAACAAGTCGATGGATGGCTGGTTTCAAATGAAATGTTTACTTACTTCGCGCGACAAATGACAAAAGATTGTTTGACGGATCGCCTTGTCGAAATCCTTGGACCATTATACGAAGAACCGCTAATTTTAACGCGAAATATTTGTTTAAAGTACACTCAATATATGACATTGATGATAAAACAGAATAAAATTTAGACTTTCTCAATTAATAACACTCAAATACTCGAGGCAATTCATACCCGTCATAACTTTTTTATAACCGTTATTAATGTTTAATTAGACATTATTTAAACCAAGTTCAAGGAAATTTAACTGTTATACTCGATTCAAAAATCACTAAAGATAAAACTACAACAGCTTACACAGAAGAGTTCTAATATTTTTCCGATCCGCTACTATTCTAGTGTTGTCTGCGACGCTGGTTTTCCACATATCGATAGCCGGCGGTTGCGCGTTAACAACTGACGCGAGAAAACCCGATTTGCGGCGTAGTTTCGCAACCTTGCGAATTATCCTTTCCTTAGAGCGTTCATACGTTACACGGCGCGGCCTTCGCCGGTGGACGCGTGTCTCGACAGTGTACACAACACTGGGCAAACTCCCACACAATTGCCTCACATGTCCGCTAGGCTGCCCGCGCGTAATTACGGAGAGCGTTCTCCTAATGAGGAGACGTATTCTTTCCACCACGGACGGAACCGCTGTGTACGCGGTTGGCGATGCCTGCCCACTCGCAACAGCCTTTACGGGAGTTGTGAGGCGATTATTACTTAAGCGATGTGAAATGGGATCAGACCGCCTTCAACACGTATATGATTGAGAACACAGAACAGAAAGAGGGCTTGTATTTGTAATGAAATAACCCAGGCTTAGGTAGTTAGGCTGTGAACTTGAGCAAGACTACGACGGCGAATTTATGATGTATTCATATGTATAATGTATACACAAATAAGAGTGAATGTAAGAATTCGTAGACGTCCACGGCGGGTCTTAGGCACAAGAAGTAAGGGCCACATTGCCCGTAGAACCGACAACCGCCTCTTTCTTTTCAAATACTTTTTTGGGTGCACTTCATTGTGGGAAGTCGAAAGAACCAAGCGCCACAGGTCAATTCTACGAGAGCTTTGGAGAAGGTCTGTGTTCCGTAGTGGACTTGGCTGTAACGATGACGACAAACGTGCATTGTGTGTGAGTGGAGTATTAGGTGCATCATGTGTAATTTGACGACCCGAATGGCGTTGTGGGTAGTGTATCTGCCTCCTGCGCCAGAGGGTGTGGGTTTGATCCCCACTACTGGATAAATATTGCGTGATGAACATAGTATTTTTCTAGTGTCTGGGTGTTAATATATGTATAATATGAATTTATTTACAAAAGAAAAAGTATGTTTAAGTATGTTTATCAGTTTTCTAGTACCCATAGTACAAGCTTTCATTATTCATTATTCAATTTGATTCAAAACATAATCAAAATTATGTTTACAATTTCGAATCGATCGAATTACAATCGAAACGTGCAAATTTTACTGGGCTAATGATTTTTAAAGGCCATAATTAAAGTTTAAAAATTCCGCTTTGGAATTTTCAATCTCTCTGGAAGGAACCGCGATGGAATGAATGGAAGTACCTCTGAATTGCCCAATAAAATTTTATTGCACAAGTGGCGAATAAGAAAAGAAGTTAATTGAAAGCTATCAAAGGTTTCCGTTTTAATGGAATTAAGGAAAAAAATACTTGAGCATTTCGTTGAACGTGCATACTGGCATCAGTGATGAGCTAGGGTTATATCAACAAATTGACTGGCAACAACAAAGTTGATGACTCCGGGGCGCAGTTGCAAATGACATGTAATGGGTTCGATTCCCACAAGAGGCTACGTCTGGTCATGATTGACGTAAATTGAGCCCCTCTATTCTGCACACCTAGCATCGGTAATTAGTGACCAACATGTCTGTTATACACTTACTGCCAACTTCCGATACAAAACAGATAACACTGCCTTGCCCAAAACCCTGATTCGCTGCTCTGACAAACATTTATTACGTACTATATCAGCAATCCTTAAGTCCTGCACACATAGCATCGATAATTTGTAAATAACCAGTATGTTACACTTACTGCCAACTTCCCATACAAAACAGAGCACGGTAACTTCTCCAACACCCTGATTTACTACTGTGACAAACATTTATTATTACCTCGGCAGTCCTTAAAGACTCGCAGAACGCAATCGACTTTACTTTTAACTGGGTCAGAGCAATATTAATTGTATTATAGCGAAGTAGACCGGAGCTGATCCAGTCTTAGATCAATGCCAAGGGTCATTTCATCAGCGTTATGTTGTCCGCCCGGTGACGTTTAAAGGCCTTAGAAAGTGCAATGGGATTTAATCTTATCGGGACACTAACGTAGGCCACCTTCATGATTGATCGTAGCTTTTATATGTAACGAATGCTTCGCATGCATAGGCAAATATATAAATAAAGACAAATATATAATAAACAACTATATCTCTTGTATTTGCTCAGATTTTATTCATTTTCGCTTTATTATTTATTTCTTTTTTCATTCCGACTTGGCCAAGCGTAAAAATCTCTTAAATAGTTTTTTTTTAATCAAAATGAAAGGCTTATAAAAATACATTTTCGCGGCAATATTTTCATTCGGTTTTGTAGTATTTGTTGTAATAGCGGTAACAGAAATACATCATCTGTGAAAATTACTATCACAGTTCATGAGATAGAGCTTGGTGACAGATGGACAGACAGCGGAGTCTCAATAATACGGTCCCGTTTTACCCATTGTGTACGGAACCCTAAAAATGAAGATTGATTTTATTATTTCAGATCAATACACAGAAACAAATAAACAGATATCTTTTAATGAAATCAAACATAATTTATATTATAAAATTTGTTGTTCGTCCTCTATACGATCATATAACATTCAACTAGCGCGCGTAAGCAAGGTTTTAAAGAAAATAAAATATTATTCTACTATTTCACGTCAGAGCTAGCAACTACACGGGATAGTAAAAAGTGATATGACGACGTTATTTAATCCACGTGGTTAACGTGAATTCTATCACTTTGTACCATCTACGATAAGAAATAAAGTATTAAAGTACATGTCAATCACTATATAGAAGTTACAACATTATTAAAGAGGCATACGTATATAATAACTTATAAGTTACATGTGCAACTGATATATGTAGCGCATGCAATCTAGTCATGCACCATATACCGTTGCAGTACATACATAACAGATATGAGTTAGTTGGCAACTGAGTAAGCGTTCTAGGCTAAGATTTGACCGTCTAATATATTGCTTCAATGCAATTGTTAGTGGCCCGGTGGCACGGACAAATAAGGACATTGATAATCCACTTACTTATTATATGCGAGCCTTTGCAATGTTCGTAGCGTGACTGGAATTTATCACGTTATTACTTAGACACGCCCTTATTAAAAGGCTTCATTTGAGACGTCACAAAACCTACGATAATTTCGCAATTGCGTTAGAGCTAGTTTGCTCGTTAAATAATATTCATTGTTACTTATATTTTTAACGAAAGTCTATCACTTTTTGATGTATATGTACATATTTATGTACGAATACATCAAAAAGTGATAGACTTTCGTAAATAAACTACTTAATTTATTTCGATTTTTGCACGCTTTTAACCACATCGTCTTATACAAATTAAAATAGACGACATTAAAATAGTGCTGATGTTCCGTCTGAGGGAGTAAATTAGTCGATATTTTGAATAGGTCAGAAATAACCAAGTAAGAAAAACTTTAGAAAAAAATTGTATCGACGAATGGATTAAACAAATACGCTCATAATAATCGCTACTCGCCTATGAATCTGTCATCGACACATTCTAAGCATTCGAACACGGCTATAAAGAAATTTTGAAATACCTATATCGATATAACAATTACAACAAACTGTTTTACTATGAACTAACATAATACGATTACATTACCGTATCTAACAGTGTTTAGGGCCGAACTCGATAAATTCATAAATAAGTCGGATACATTATAGTTAAAATAAATTTTCGGACACAACAATTAACGTACTTGTAGTAATTCTTCATTTGATTTTTTTTTGTTTTCCAATCTTTCAATAATTCTTTAAAACCAACTTAAGTCAAATTAGTTGTAGCTTTCAATGTCGACGCATTAAGATTGTCTTCATTAGTAAGTTCAGACACCAAAGCGTTGTTACTGTAACTGCCATAAATTAGTAGAACTTACAATTAATTAAAATTTCGTAAATATAAAATGAAATAATAATAAAACACATTTTATGTAATGAATATTTAACATTTCGATCGTGTTCTCTTGTGAGTGCAAAAAAGCACCACGGAAATATTAAGAAACACAAACACACACAAAGTATAAGACGTATAGTATATGTTATCATTCCGACGCCAATTAACAAATGGTATTTAATTGATAACCAACATGATTCTATGAAATTCGTGAACGTAAAACACCTAAACTTGATAACTCAAATGAAAAACACGATTGTACGATATATCGATAGATAGTAACCTAGTTATCGATAATCTAATATCACTTGTAGTTAATGCATTATCGATATGAAAAACACCGACAGTTGAAAATTGAACGCGACCGGTGCCGTAACGTGACTGTCATCGATGATTTTTTTTATTCGAAACTAGCCAGCGTGTAACTGCCATCACACATGCTAGTAAACTGCGATTCAGCTGCGATGGTAATCTGTGATAGGTAACTGTAGTACGGCCAGGTCTGATACACGAATGACCAGGTCCGTCCGTAAGTACCACGACCTCACATGCGTGTGCATCGTAAAAATTTCCTCTTATCATTTCTCCCTAACGCGCCAAAAGAAGTATGACTTAAAAATCTCGAACGCACTACCGTAAGCATCGACAACTTGTCTCACCGGCGGCAGCTCACTCACCTTCTCCGGGTGCGCGTCCTCCAACTCCAGCAGCCGGAACTCCATCAGCTCGAGCTGGTCGCGCGCGTCGCGCAGGGCGTCCGCGAGGCGCGTGCACTCGCGCGCAGCGGCCGCAGCGCGCTCCGCCGCCGAGCGGCACTCGCCGCACGACTGTACACGGACGCGCCGTTAGTAGGGTCACCATGGTGGCGTACGGTACGGGATAATTCCACGGGACGGGGGGGGGGGGGGGGGGTCGTATTAAATAGGTATACTATCAGCGTAATTCGTATGATGTTTGTATATCAGGCGCAATCTGCATTCGTCGCTTACGTATTTATAACCAATTTTTATTAGCAAAATGCCGACTTCAAATATCTCGCTCTGTATTCATTTTATAGTTGATTTTCAAGAGTTCCCTTCGTGTCTCCGGAGCCCATGATCCGAGGGACGGGAATTAGGGACCACATGGGAAGCGCCAGCTTTCAAATGAAAAAAAAAATCATCAAAATCGGTCCTAACTCAGTCGAAGGTTCTGAGGTAACAAACAAACATAAAAAAAATACAGTCGAATTGAGAACCTCCTCCGTTTTAGAAAAAAAAATCGCTGTCGCTTGAAAATTAAAAGGACAACTACGCACAAATGTTTTGCTTGGTTTAGAATATTGTTCAGCTATAGTTACATACTTATAGCCCAGCCGAAAACTACAAAGCTGGTGAACTGTATTTTATTATATGGTAGGGTCACGCAGCAGCTTCTGTTGCACGAATGGGCAGGCTCGTCCGGGGAAGTACCACGGCCTCTCATTAGACCGGCGTTGAGTGTAAGGATTATACTTTTGCGTTTCGTCAGGTGTGTAAGGTAACCGGGGCCGCCCAATTCTTTATAAATTTGTATGTGGATCTGCTACCCTAAAAGAGTCGCCGATGTCCAGGATGATGGTTACAACTTCACATTAAGTGAATCGATTGCTAATTTGGCAACCTCTCATAGAAATTAAGAAAAGACGCAACAAATACATGGAAATATTCCCCACAGGCCCCGTCCCATAAGGAATCGGATGAGGGAATTTAGTTCCTTAATTAGAATCTTTATCTTACAACTCCTTGCCTTTATCTTAATCTTTTTTTTGTTTTATTTTAAATCTTAACATTCCAAGTGCTATAATGTATGCTTCTACCTCTGCTCTAAAGCCCATTCTTACGACACATACCGAAATACCTTAAATATGCCAATTATTGAACTTGAATCAATTTTTGAATTACTCAAAGAGAACGAACACTAAACTTCATAATATAGTGCTAGAGTGCCCGTTTACAGTTCACCCATTCCCACCACAGTCCCGGATCGGTACCGACAAGCGTGGTCACCATACGGAGAGTAGGAGTACAATGAGCGTGACGCAAGCCGAACCGCCAATAGTTTAGTAGGCTAGGCGACGGCGGTGTTCCTATCGCAATAGCGTCTGACATTTCATAGAGGCCCGTACCGCTCAAGGTCTAACAACAAACACTCCTTGGACTTGATGCCGATGGTCTGGAGACGCCATCAGCTTACGACCCGAGGAGGTAATGGCTTACTTAAGTACGTGAACTTAACAGAACTTAATAATAAGATGGGTAAGGTGACCCGTTTCAAAAATATAATTAGCGAAAAATTAAGATTTAACATTATTACTGTATTATTTAATCAGATATATTCTTATATATACTTTTGTGGAAAACACAAACAAAATTTTGGCCATTATTCACTAATATATACTTATAGATATCTATATAGGTATCCGTGGTTGAAATAATTGTGAATATCACGATACCTGTGGGAATCGCTTGATTGATTTTTAAATCATTCATCGCTCGTCAAAGGATAGCTATGTTGTCTATCTTCTTATTACTCGTCAAGGACTGGGCGAAAAAACAAACACCTGGAGAAAGATTTTTTGTTTTCTACAAGTTCTTGGATATAAACGTTGAAATGATGGTCGTCGTTAACGCAGATTGGCTAATCCTTTCACCACAAAATGGCTACAAAAACGGCTCTTCTTAAAGCCAAAACAACAAAAAATGCACCTCTCAGCGCCAGTTTAATATGTCAACCTTTTAAGTAGCTATTTTGACTGAAAATGGAAGAAAATTTGGTCAATCGTTGACTTTACCTATTTTTCAATTATAATCTTTAATATCCATTATATTGAATTATAAACATTTTATGCGCAAGTTACACATATCAGATTCTCCCTCCTTCGCTTGTCACATTCGGTTATTAAAAAAACGTTTTCTTAAATAACAGCCGTCCGTAATAAAATCCGCCAATGAGGACGGATCGATATGCTTATAACATTGTTCAAATACTTCTTTCCTTGACGATCTTATGTCGTTCCGTGATAAATCATACCCTCAAATTGAAAAAATTTGATTGGCGTCAGTTTGAATCAGGTTGACGAGGATAATTGATTTAAAGGGAGCGTTCGCTGAGTTCCTAAAACGGTTTCTAATAGTATGAGTTCCTAATACTGAGCGATTAGATCCATTAGCACTTTGAGCCCAACGCAATAAGTTGGAATATTACATGTTTCTTTACACATACAGTGTTACTGTCCTGAAGTGCCTCTAGTGCACCACTACACGTGGATGTGAAATTATCGAAAGAAACATCAAGGTGAATAATTATGCCTTGTAAAGATTAGTTGACGTTACGTAGGTTTATTGCTGCATAACAAATCGCGTAGATAATTTTTTTACAACACGGTTTTATCGACGTATTCTACATGTATCTTATTTTTATATACGTATTTTTCTTTTTGCTTCCGAGGCGGTTGACGTGATGTTAAATGTTAAATGGTGATCGCCACATGCCCACGGGCGGTGGCAACCATTTAATAACACGTCACTTGCAACTGGGCCAGTCACGTCACTCATAACAGACGTAAGGCAAAGGTGTAATAATCCGAATTCACGCTGGTCTTCTATAGGACATGGTACTTCGGATATCGAGTGGGTCATCGAAAGCAGAATCTGTTGCATGACCATATAAAGTATAAAGACCACTGTATATAATATATAAGTTCATAATTTTAATATAGTGTTCCTAGCACGACGATATAAATCATACACAGTATGAACAACATATGGCATATAATATAATGTAAAGGTCTCGTAAATACGACCCAAATATGTGCCCACACAATGTATGGAGTGCAACAAGGGATGAGTATATTACATTTTCCTTGCGTTCGCGCCTAATGTATGATGACGCACTTTTTTGCATTTGCGTCTGCGTCTTAACAGTCAACTAGTTGTCTCTTTATATTCAATCGATGATCAAGGAGTGGGAGCGAGAGGGTGCGATTGATCCCTTTGAATACCGACCCACATGTCGCTGTGCGGCTGCGGCGAGAGAGAGACGGGTGCAGAGGACACCGCAGAGTCCTCGTCCGAAGGGGCCTCCTGGAACAAACAAAGGACATCTTTAATTAAGGACGGATTCACCGCATCTACGGAGAGGTGCCAAGGAAGGTTTTTGTTCATCATCAGCCAGAAGACGCCGATTTTTTAACCAACGCTTCTCCTTCGAACACCACAGTGAACGTCAATTGCCTTTAGCTAATCATAATATGAATATACGAAAGATCTTTATCCTAGTTGATTTTTTGTGACATTATTTCTAAGAGAAAAACAATGTATTCAGCCCGAATATCCAGTGCCAATTGACGATCGTGGTGTTTGAACTTTGAACGCTAAGCTTTCAATGGCAGATTGCCGACATTCAAGGGTATATATACAAAATGCAGTGTAAAATCTAGATTTTAAATGAGTCTTATGCTTCTACTATGTTTGTTACCTCCGATTTGTGTGAAGATCGTGAGTGAAATATTTGATGTCGGTTTTGTGTTTTTTTTTTTTTTTGTTAATATATATGAAGATTGTTTGATTGTTCCATGTTACGATATTGTTTAAAAAGCAAAAAAAAATAACCTACAAAACGAGGGAAAAGTATGAATGAGCTTATATGGATGAATATTTGTAAAAATAAATCATGGTCTATTGTAAAAATGCTCTGTTATAAGAGACCACAAGCAAATAAATAAAAATGACCTTACCCTGTAAAATGTTTCTTTTCTGTGCTGTATATCGGTTTTCAGATCTTCTCGGTTACTCTTTTCTTTCACCTGCAAAAGAAGAACAATTTTTTTACTAATTTTGAAGTTCCAACTCGATAACTTTCCTTTTATACAGTGAAGTAATTCTTTGCGCAACATATGCGATAACAAATAACTGCTGCATTTTAACGCTAGGCGCTGAATGCGAAAACAAGTAATTGCTGCTAGAATCGAAGTATATAATTAGGTCTATTGGAATATGAATTTATTTATTATTTAATTCTTAGATTTGATTGATTGACAATTTATGTTTTAAATTATAAATGGCTGCTGCTCTTGCCTTGTTCCTAGAGAATTATTTTTCGATACAGAAAGTTTTACAATAGCCTTATTCTTTCTCGTTCCCTTTTCCCTCCTAGGTGGCGTTGGTACAACATTTGAATCATGTTATAATTAGCTAGTTATGTTTTACGACGCGTGGCTTGTCGTAGTTCCTCTTGGGAAATAATCCCACAGATCCGGAACAATTATCTATGGTAATTATTTGTAATTACGGATTACACATTAGTAAATGAAACTAATTTTACAGATCTATCTCGTTTATCTTTATTTTTATTTTCTGACGTTTCAAACGGGACTAACTGAGGCGTTGGACTTCTGAATGTCATTGTTATCCCGAATGGCGGTACCATCAATTAATCATTAATTTTGTGTCCAATCTATGCAGAAGCTTCTAATTGTATCTTGTCTGGCAGTAGTGGTTCGTTTGCTTAGATTTAATTTCATTAGTGATAGGATCCCATGCTGGATGGTACTACTACCTTCACCTCTATTGTAATTAGAGTATTTTAAGGGTTCCGTACCCTAAGGCTATAACGGGACCCTATTACTAAGATGCCGCTGTGTCTGTCCGTCTGTCACCAAGCTGTATTTGAAGAACCGTGATAGTAAGACATTTGAAATTTTCACAGATGATTTATTTCTGTTATCGCTATTTCAACTGTGGTGACATTTTTCGAAGCCCCCATAAATTAGCTCAACGCAATAGACGTTAAACTAAGCGGTGAAAGGGATTAACGGTTAACCGTATATGGTTATTATGCCAGTTATAATAACCATATACGGTTAACCGTTGTCGGCCGTCGTCGGTGAGGAGGTGCGGCAAAGTGCGACATTCGCCCGCTAACAATGTCCAATGTTGGCTTTCGAAAGCTTCATACGAACTGTTTGCTACAAACTGTGTAATGAAGGGCGATGTATTCAGTTAAATTTTAGATTCATACATAAATAAACACTACTGTTGTTGCGATTGCCCGTCTTCGAACGGATCTTTTTTATATGAGCAAGCGAGCTGGCGATTGATCGCTCTATTGGCGAACTCCATTATTAGATTCTTATAAAAATATTTTTAATACTAGGCGGTCAGAAGGGACGGAATTTTTTCTTTCCGGAGACTAAAGAGTAAGTAAAATAACAGCCTATATATGTCCCGCTGTTGGGAAAGGCCTCCTGTGTAATAGTATATTATAGGGCATAGTCCACCTCGGATACATAGTCTACTACGGGTTGACAGACTTCATATATTCGAAATTCGCAATGTTATTTTATTTTGCCATTATTTCCGAAATATGCAGGTTTTCTCTCGATGTTTTACTTCACCGCTGAGCAGGTGATAAGTCAGCATTTAAAATTGTAATTCACAATTTCATTGATGTCGGCTCCGGGAATTTAACTCGGGTAGCTCGAGTATATTGAATACAAAGCAAGCGTCCGGTCACTGAGCTGACACGTGATAAAAATACAGAAATGAAATTGACGTTAATATTAAACGGGTATAACAAAAAACGTCATCCCGACAGCCTAGAAAAGTATAACATTGTATATTTAAAATTATTGCGTAGGTAAACATGTTTAAGGGTGCTAAGCATTTTAGGTCAAAGCAGCCGGCGTATATCACATTTTCAATTATTGTTAAAGGAAACAGTAGACTCGAAGGGTTTCAAACCATTTCCTTAATTGCGAATTGATCGTCATTTCGAAACATATGGGGTAAGAACTGGCTAAGAAAGACCTGTAGTTTAACGTCGTTAATCAATTAAAAGCCGCAGATATGCAATTAGAGAAAGTGAACACGGCGTGCAATTTAATATCGCTATCACCGGTGCATTCGCTTGGGACGAGTACATTACACGGTCGCTTCACGGATATATTGTGATTTCACGGCCGATCCGTTGACGAGCGAGCATGTAACGCGTGTAATTGGTTTAATTGCGACACATCGTAAGAAGTGGAGGTCCAAAGATGGGGGGAGGTCTCCGAGAGACGAATCTACCATTCAAACGATGGCTCGGTTCTCTATCGCATATATGAAAGGCTCCCACTTTCTACTGTGTGTTTTATTGGACGATGACTTTACTATTTTGTGAATTACATGTCTGTTCAATGTATCTGATTTTCGAAGGTAAGACCTTTGCTGCTTATAACCTCCGCAACAAAGATATAACATGGATATAAGCAAATATACAAAATGAATATCTTGTTTTATTAGTATTTATACGACCCTACTGGCCTAATAGGTAGTGCCTCTTACGCCAAAGGGTGAATGGTCGATCCCACTACTGGAAAAAGATTGTGTGACGAACACGGTGTTTTTTCATTTTTTTTTTTGGGCTGGATGAGTCACTGTTGGCCTTAGGGGCCTTTACAGATCCGACGGACTTGAGGTGGCCGGGCGCTCGAGGCGCCTTGCCTGAACCTCGCGTATTATTATTACGCGTTATGGTGACTAAGCTCGAGGGCTCCCGAGGGAACCTCGGCTCAGGCCGTCACGCTATTATTATCACCGGTTTGGGAGGCCGCCAAGCTCTTAGGGCGCTTTGGCGGACGCTCCATGGAGTGATCAGGCTCAAGGGTCCCCGAGAGGGGACCTCGGCTTGGGCTGTCACTCAGCACGCGTTTAGCATTCCGATTCAAGGGTGCCCGAGAGGGCCGGACCTCGGCTCGATCGGTAGCTGTTAACTGACTGGGAGTGTTTTTTCAGTGTCGTAATTTTTATATATTTATCGTACTTGTTTATGTACATCTGATTATATAAGGTGGGTGGACCATGGAAGGCCACTCTAAGGAGTAAACGCTTTTTATTCGTTTATTTACTGGATAAATGAAGGAAACAAACTATTAAGTAATACTTTGTTTTATTGTGCACCATCTAAATCACTTTTTTTTATCTATAATTAATCACTATTTACTAAACTTAAGTTTTATTAAGCTCTTCCAAATGGCCTCGCAAGCAACACGGCTCCAAACAAGGCCAATATTATACATCAGTCGCTAAACTTAAAAATAGTGTAGTAACATTAAATATATCCGCTTTTACTAAAACTACGTAATAAGCTCTATCATTTAAGCGAAACATAAAATGCTCAATATATTTTTATCATTGATAAAAAACTCAACGAACATTAATTGAACAGCATCGTATAACTAAGAATATAGTAATGGAAATTATTTTCAAATAGTAGTAATAAGTATTATATTGGCAACACATAAGCTGCCAATGGGTTTGATAAGGAAATTAAAAAAAAATTCCAAAATGGCCTTATGGGCCCGTTCTTTGTAAGGCCAATATGTTCCTAAGAACGCCAAACTAACAATTATAACTATGACTTTTTCATATCAATTATATCCTTTTTTCAGCCAAAACTACATTTTGTTTGTGGACCGTAATGCGACACCCTTTTTCATCCATGTTATACAAGCGTTCTGGATGTGCAATAATGTCTAGCTCTTTATAGAGTTTCTTGACTTCTTCAGAATGGTGTTTCACAATGGGCTTATACATTTTTGGAGCTCTAGCTCTAGTTGGTGCGTCTTGGAATATTGAACTTTAACGCTGCAGCATTTGTATTAAGTTCATTATTTTGTACTGCTTCCATGGCACGTCTTAAACTGTCTTCATCCCATATCATTACCTCTTTTTCTAGGTTTTAAATCCGACATTTTTGATATCTGAAATATTCGCATAAAATTGAATCATCTGTTTAATTACCGACTTATTGTAATAATGTTTTTTTTTTGCTAAAAGTATAGTTATAGACAGACTATCTCATGATTATCTTATGTATAACTTATCACAGACTTACTTTACCGGTTTTTACATGTAAATATTTTTATATTCGTTGCTTTTCATGTAAATTAGTTTAGTAATATAAAACATTGTTTTAACTGTAACAGTACGTATTTATAACTAAAAAGTAAGTGTTCATATGTTCATGGTTTGTAAATATTACCGTCCCATGTACCATAGCAAGGCCAACCGTCAAATTTTTGATTGGCCTTATAAGGAACCGCCGGCTTTCATAGGAACACCACCAATATTTTAACTTAAATTGAGGCAAAACTATGTTTTTTTTCCTTTAGTACCATAAGTATTCATTTTACTTTCAATTCACAAAAAAAGGAATATGAGATAATAATAGGTTATTGCCAAAAAGTTACGTTTTGCTGTGCGCGTGAATAACAATTGTAACGACGACGATCGAAGTCTACTAAGCGTGAGATCGCACTGCCACAATAGCGGCCCGATCGAATCGCCGCCGTGTTTGGGGCCTTAAGTTTGATAGATCTTAGTGTGAACTAGAAGGAATACGTCTTTACATGTCAATAACTACGACTTTTTAATAGTTGGCCTTCAAAGGAGCGTGGCCTTCCATGGTCCACCCACCTTATTAGATGACTACGTTTTAGGTAGACTCGCGTCTAGTATTAGCTTTTGTTATCATCTACTGGAATCTTATATTTCGCTTTACCTATTACTTTACAATGTAGTTCACCTAAAACATGTAAGAAGGTGTCAACTGAACGTGGGGTTTAACCGAGTCTAGCAGTAAAGTTCAAGCCGTCAGGGATTTAAAATCAAAATAAAAAGTGAAAACACCCGTCCATTGTGGCCGTGATCCTTCCACGGTCAAGCATGTCCGTTCGTGCAACAGACGCCGCGATACATTGGACACTCAAAGAACTTATATTTTCATCGACTATTATAATCAATTAAAACGGCGAACACGCGT